TATATATATTCAATTTTATTTATTTTTGTGGGGTTCACAGCATTGTTTCAATACATGCATATTCTGCACAATGATTCACTTAGGGTAGATAGCATAGTCTTATCCTCATTAGTTCACCCCTAGTTTTCCGCCCCATCCCCACCCCTCCCAGATTCTGGTAACCATTATTCTACTTTTTTTAAAACACACAAAGATTAACATCCTTATTGCAAAAAGACCTCTTAAAAATGAATTAGAAAAACCTAAGCAGACATTTGGTGAAGGACATGAACAGATGAGTCACACACCCCAAAGAAACACACGTGGTTAATAAGTACATTCTAGGATTTGGTTGCGGGTGGGGGTGGGGCTGGCCAGCCCCCATCTCAGGATCCTAGGTTGACTGTTTCCCCTGCTGGCCTAGATGTGCGGCAGGGGTGGGGCTAAGGCCCATGGCCCCCAGACCCCCTCTCAGGACCCCTGGGCATCAGGCTGGCTCAGTTGCTGGTCTGGATGTGCAGCAGCAGGGCTGAGGCCCACGCCCCCGTTTCTCGGGACCACAGGGAGGGCGACGGGCTGACCCCATTGCTGGCCTGAATGTGTGACAGCAGGGCTAAGGCCCACAGCGCCGTCTCCCAGGACCCCTGCGCAGGCATCAAGCTGGCTTCCTTGCTGGCCAGTGGGGGGGGCGGGGCTGAGGCCCTTGGCCAGTATTTCAGACTTCCCGCAGGCATCAGGCTGACACTGTTTCTATTTTTCCAAGAACGTTTTGGGACCTTCAGATTATGAGACTGATGCACTGCCAGCTGTGATAACCACAAACTTTCTGAAGTACCCTCCTATATATATGAAGTAAATGTAGCAGGTAGAATTGCTGTTCTATTCTAAACATATTCCTACTTTTATTAAGATGACTACAACTCACTGTTGATAAGGATCTCTGCCACGCTAGAGGCACTCCATCCTATTGGTAAGAGGGAGTCCATTAAAGGGTTGTTAGATATATGCTTATTTACAAAGCTATACTGATGCTTTGTACTGCTTTATCCTTCTTCCCAATCACACAAGGTCATTCATTAGGCCAAGAGTTGACAAAACTGACAAATCCAGCTTGCTGCCTGTTTTTGTAAATAAAGTTTTATTGGAACAGTCACATCATTTGTTTATCTAATGTCTATGGCTGCTTTGGAACTACAACTGCAGAGTTGGGTAGTTGCAATAGAGACCAAACAGGCTGCAAAACCTAAAATATTTACCATGTGGTTGTCTACAATTGGCAGACTCCTGCATCAGGTGATTAAAATGGATATTCTTTGGGGGTGAGTAGAGAGATAATAAACAGAAGCTTCTGAGCTTTGATGTAGATTTGAAAGAAGGACAGAGAGAGGAGAAGGTTTTTTTTTCCCCTCTTGGGTATGTTTCAAGGGTATATTTTTGAACATGCTGTTTACTAAAGATATATTTTATAAATTTTAAAATATTTCATTGACAAATAAAAATTGTATATATTCAGGGTGTAGAACATGATGATTTGATATTTTTATAGTGTCATGATTCCCAGGATCAAAAATTAACACATTTATCACCACCCATAGTTACCATTGTGTGTGTGTGTGTGTGTGTGTGTGTGCAGTGAGGACATTTAAAATCTGCTGTCTTATCAAATTTCAAGTAAACAATCCTGTCATTTGTGACAACATGGATCAATCTGGAGGACATTATGCTAAATGAAATAAGCCAGACACAAACAGAAAAATACTGCATGATCTCACTTATATGTGGAATCTAAACAAGTCAAACTCATAGAAACAAGAAGTAAAAGGGTGGTTGCCAGGGGCTGGGGGAAATGGGGAGATGTTGGTCAAAGAGTACAAACTTTCATTTATAAGACGAATAAGTTCTGGGGACGTAATGTACAACATGGTGACTAAAGTTAACAGTACTGCATTGTGTACTACAGATATTTTGAAATTAAACATTAGAGATAGGGCCGGCCCGGTGGCGCACTGGAGAGTGCACCGCTTGGGAGTGCAGCGGAGCTCCCGCCGAGGGTTCGGATCCCATGTGGAGACCGGTTCCCGCTCACTGGCGTGAGCGGTGCGGACGCAACACCGAGGGTTGCGATCCCGTTACCAGTCAGTAAAAAAGACAAAAAGGAGAAAAAAAAAAAAACATTAGAGATGCCTGCTTTGCTCTCCACCCCAGGAACTCACCATACCTCTTTACTGTAGATACTTAGTCCCTAGGGTAGAAGCAGGAGGTCCTATATCAGACAAAGCCTCCACCTCACCCTTCAGTTCCCCTAATAGTCTTTTTGGCTTATATCTTTATCTTGACTGTAGAAGTTCTCCCTCCCCTTTACTCTCTGCATGTTAAAAATTGCCAAATTCTATCAATTTTATCTTCTATTTCTTGACTCTATCTGCTCCTTCTCCAGTGACATAGCCCAGGCATGTACCATCTTTCACCCAGACAACTGCAACAGTCTCAGATATGGACTGGTGTCCTTGTTTCTATGGTTTCCCCTGTAATCCGTTTCCATGCCACTTTCAGAACGGTCTATGGAAAATGAAATTCTGTTTATTCCACTTTCCAGCTTAAAACTCTTCAGTGACTCCCTATTACCAAAGGGATATAATCCAAGGTCCTTACTATGGCATACAAAACCCTTCAGGCCTACATTCTCTGCTCTTATCATGTATCACTTTGTCCAACCTCCATCTCTCAGACTTTTTGCTTCACTAATTCCTGTTTATTTGTACTTTCCTAAACACACCATGATGTTTACATCCTGGGCTAGTGCAGATGCTATTCTTTACACCAGGAAGGCTTCAACTCTACTGTCTGTGATTTGGATGGAGACTTGCTACTCATCTCTTTGTACAGTTCTCTGACTCCTGGACAGAGTGCATCACTTCTCTATGTTACTTCCAGACTTTGGGTATTATATTAATGTATACACCACACTACACTATCATTTGTTTACATGCTTTTCTCCTTTATTAGACAGTGATCCCTCCAGGATGACAAGGACTTTTAGTCAACTCTTAAAGTGCCTGACATGGAATAGAATGTCAATAATTTTTTTAATTATACAAATAAAAGAATATTTAAAACTGTACATCATACAAATACTAGGTATAAATATAATAATTATATAGACGGTCCCCAACTTATGATGGTTTGGCTTAGATTTTTTGACTTCACAATGGTGCGAAAGTGATACGCATTTAGTAGAAACCATACTTCAAATTTTGAATTTTGATCTTTTCCTGGGCTAGCAATGTGCAGTACAATATGCTTATGTGAGATATTCACACAGTATTATAAAATAAGCTTTGTGTTAGATGATTTTGCCCAATTTTAAGCTAATGTAAGTGTTCTGAGAACTTTTAAGGCTAGGCTAGGCTAAGCTATGATGCTCGGTAGGTCAGGTGTACTAAATGCATTTTCGACTTAACGACATTTTCAACTTAGGATGGGTAACCCCATCGTAAGCCAGCTCCTCTGTCTAACACCTTGTCTCCCTTTTGTCTCCTCCCTGTAGGACAGAGTTCCCCCTTCACCCCTGCCATGTGGCTGGATCCTAATCTGCTTCCATATATCCCAGTCATGAATACCCTGCCTCCTGAGGCTGCCACACTACCCTTACTTACGCTCTGCCTGCCCCACCTTCAGCCCATCAGCCACTGGCCTGTGCTGACACCAACGTCCTCTAGCCAGACTCCAGCCTTTCCTAAGTCTCTCTTCTCTCTGTTAGAACTTTTTAGGGTCAACTCTCATGCTCTGAAAGGTCTATCTAACTCTTCTTAATCTACTGCATTTTATTTGCTAACTAAATCCAGTTCTAATCTCAGAGTAACTGATTGTCAACTTTTAATCCTCCTCACCCTTTTAAGCCAGAAGTTAGTGCAAAGGGTGAAGAGTTTCATGTGGTTAAAAACATTAAAAAGGGCTAATCATATTGTGACCTGGTTTCTGTATATTGGGAAGTACAGAAAGGACAAGATGAGTTATTTAAAATATTCCTATTTTTAAAAATGTATTTAAATACATCTATGTAAAACAAAAATAAACTTCTTGTCAATCTAGCACTTTAATGTATTTAGGACGTATCCTTATTCACAAGTTAAAAGTAGCACAGTACACTGGATGAGTGTACAAGCACTGGGATCCAACAGACTTGAATTTAAATCTTGGCTCAAAACCTTATTAGCTATGTGATCATTGGACAAGTTATTTAGGGCCTTTGGGCCTTAGCTTCCTCACCTGGCAAATGAAGATGTTACAAATACTTACCTCATGGGGTTGTTTTGAGGACCAAATAAGATTATATGAGACTGCTATGGGTTGAACATCCTCCAAAGTTCATGTGTTGGGCCGGCCCAGTGGCGCACTGCTACAGTGCGCCGCTTGGGAAGCACGGCGGCGCTCCCGCTGAGGGTTCGGATCCCACATACAGACCGGCCGCTCACTGGCTGAGCAAGGAGCGGGGGCAACACTGAGGGTTGCGATCCCGTAGCCGGTCCCGGTCCGGTACGGGCGCGACACTGAGGGTTGCGATCCGTTGCCGGTCACGAAAAAAGACAAAAAAAAAAAAAAAAAAGTTCATGTGTTGAAAACTTGACCCCCATTGTAACAGTGTCAAGAGGGTGGGCAATTCTATCATGGTATTTGAAAGGTAGGGCCTTTAAGAGGTGATTGGATTGTGAGAACTGTGCCCTCATGAAAGGATTAATTTATTCACGGAGTAATGGGTTAGTGGTTTAATAGGTTATCATAGGTGTAGACTGGTGACTTTATGAGGAGAGCACATGAAAGAGCTCTTGCCATTCTCGCCATGTGACACCCTGCAAAGCCGTAGAGTCACCACCAAGAAGAAGCCCCTCACCAGATATGTTCCTTGGACCTTGCACTTTCTAGCCTTCAAAACTGTAAGAAATAAATTTCATATCTTTATAAATTACCCAGTTTCAGGTATTCTGATGTAAATGACAAAAAACTGACTAATACAGAGATGCTAAGGATAGTATCTGACACACAGAAAATGCTCAAATTAATGGAAGCTACAGAAAATATGACATCTAAAATTGCCCTCTCCCTCAATGGCAGGAGAAAGCAAATAGCACTGCAATATGTGAGCAACTTTATAGTTCATACAATCAATAAAGCTAGCCCTCAATTTACAAATGGACAGTGTACCAAAAGTCATAAATGATTTGCTAATTTGTCCATAAAACATTGCTGTAAATGATGGTTAGGTTGCCAGCCCAGCCCAACATCAGCCATTTTATACCTGACATACAATGCAAATAGTACGGCACTAGTTAATAATTATTCTTGTTCCCACAGTAGTGACAACTCCTAGTGGGTGGGGGCTCCTGAAGGAGGAGTGAGCTATCAGTATCTTGGGAGTGGGGACTATGAGCCACTCTGTTAATCAGTATGTGTGGGTAAATGGAATACAAACTGTATCAAGAAAAGAGATGTCGTATGTCAGGTTCAGAAAAAATTAAAGTAATGTAAACTACAAAAACTAGCAAGTCACAGAAAAAAAGTCACAACTATCACTTAGGCTAGCATCATTGTGGTGACAATAGGGAACATCTTGATGTGCTCCTGCACACAATTTTAACTTGTATTAAACACAGATCACCTTCTATTTTCAGTTATGCCTTCAAATCATAACTAGTTCCTTATAGGATATAAGGGAGTCAGGCCTACATTATTCAACCTCTATACGTTTACAAATAAGAAAAGATGCAAACTTGCCAACTGGTAAAATGAAGCATTTTTTTGGTAAGGAAAAAAAAAAAGAAAAAGAAAACAACTCTGCAGAGGCTTGTGTTTTCTATATGCGCAAAGCCTAGGTGAAGTTCTGAGAGCTTTTAGAGATAATATTCTTCATTTGGAACACATAAATAACCAATTGGTAACTGGGATAATTATAGGATGATATACTGAAATTAGAACTCAGTTTATCTGAATAAACTGACTATTTATAAATATTATCAATGTTCTTTAAAGATGGCATTATAATACTTCTCCCAAAATTGACATAAGAGGTTAAAAGCTATATAACAAATTTAAAACTACTTACATTTAATAGCATATAATAATCAGTACCAAAACTAGCATTATACTTTTTTCTGCTCTGATAACACTTTACTCTTGAAGGTTATCATCTTGAGAAGCAAATTACCTCATGATAAAATTATCCCTTAATTATAATCTTCTAGCATGTAGTTTAGATCACATCAGAGTTTGTATTATAAGTCGTTATTTAAAAGGCCTTCCATTTTGGTTAAAAAAAAAAAAAAAAAAATTAAAGTTCATTCAGGGATAAAAAATGACCAAAAAACTAAAACCTAAAAAATGACCTGGCTGAAAACTTGCTGGCAATTTCTGGCTGCAAAAAAATCAGAACATCAAAGTAAAAATGTCTTGATCATTTTAAGCCATAAATGCAGAGCTTGAGCAATCCTGGGTTCCTATTAAACTAACTTAATAAATGATGAATGAAAGATGTGAATTCTTGCTTTTTTTTGGTGTCACTGGTTGAATATGGTTATCCAAGGATCACCATTAGACTCTGAAGATGAGACACAAAGAATTTTGGCTAAAAACTTTCATTTATAAAAACTGTAGATGAGACACAAAGAATTTTGGCTAAAAACTTTCATTTATAAAAACTGTAGATGTCTGGATTACAGTCATAGTCATAGCTTTGCTGCTATGACTAAAATTTAGATTAAAGTGTCAATGAGGCCATTAGCTACTATAAGATCCCTGCCCCTGGTGGGAATGAAAGTTCCATCTGTGGTCTTTGGACAATGTTAAATTACCCATTTATTGAATCAACAGACAGATGTGCCAACTCTAACTGAAAAGTTTAGACTTGTGCCTCAGAAAAGATTTTCTACTTTTTTCTTCCCATCAAGGGCCGAGAAGTATTTTTGTATATGCATATGACTCTTCTGCTTAACGGAATGATAGTTCACTTCTGGCAGCTTGTATCAGCCTATATCTCTTCATAGCCCTGCCCAGAATGGCAGTCTCAAACTTCCACCTCAACTTACCATACTTCTTAGCAACTGTAACAGTAGCTGTTGGGATATAAGCTTGTGTCAAAACGTTAATGGAATCATGTTAATTGTGAAAAACTATGTATTATGTTCTTTTCCAAGATTAAAAAAAATGCGTTAAGATCGCTGTAAAATTACATTTTGTATGCCTTACTAGTTATACCCTTCTTAAAATGACTCAGGTTATTGGGGGAAAAAGGTTTGTTTATTCCAAAATAATACAGATAAGTTAACTGTTTAAATTAGAAGCAAAGTTCTTTAGAATAGTGGCATTAGAAAGTCATTTTTTATATGTATTTCTAACATCTTCCATCTTCCATTCTTATTCCCAAAAGGAACTCATAAATAATCTGTTGTATTTCTAACATTATATTTGAGAAGTGAAAAAATCTGATACTATATTTACACTATATTTAAGTTAGTTTTGCAGTTCATAGAAAAAAAATAGGTGCAATGTATTAGTGCGTTTCTGTTGCTTATAACAGAACACCGGAAACTGGGTGATTTATAAAGAAATAAAATTTATTTCTTACAGTTTTGGAAGCTGGGAAGTCCGCAGTCCAAGGGGTGCATCTGGTGAGGGCCTTGTTCTTGGTGGAAACTCTCCACAACAATGCAGGGTATCACATGGACAGAATAAGAACAGGCTGAGCAAGAGAGCTAAACGTTTCACTTGCTCTCCTTACAAAGGCATCAGAACCACACCCATTACTCCATGAATGGATCAACCCATTCACAAGGGCACAGTCCTCACAATCTAATCATCTCTTAAAGGCTCTACCTTTCAAATACCAAAATCGTATTTCCTACCCTCTTAGCACTGCTACAATGGGGTTCAAGCTTCCAATACATGGACTTTAGGGAGACATAACGACCCATAGCAGGCAAATTGCAGAGATGGTATTAAATGAGGGAGATGATTTTCTAGTCTTCTTCCCCTCCTCCCAGAGGAAAAAACAATTCACTTTCCCTACCACACCAATTTCTTAATACAAAACTAAGAAACAACAGCCTTACCTGTTTGACAGCATTATCATTTCCTAAACCACAGTCTGGGCCAGAGCAGACATAAACATTGGATGGTAAATCATTGTAACAGTTCCTGCTGATGTCTGAAGAATCTCTCATATTGAAGTAAAGAGCCCATAGAAGTCTTGGCTTTTCAACTTCTTCATTTTCTAAATGTAGAAATAAATTTATTTACATTCTAAAACACAATGTGTGTTGCTTATCAATTACTACATTATGTGGCTAATTACCATTAAAGCCCTGACTAGACATTGTAGTAAATCAGTTTTTATGTAAATAATTAGTAAATTTGCATCCACACACTCTGATATATGTGTATGAGATTTCAAGCAATGACAGCTTTTCAACCTAAGAAAAGTTAGATTTTAAAAATTGTTTTGATTACTAAATTAATTAAATATAACTCCAATCATGCTCCCTTGGGTTTCTATTACTTTTCATCAGCAGTATCAAAGTGCTTATGATTACATTCATTTTAAAATTACCCCCAGGAGCTGAGAAGTTTACATAAATTGATTTCTCATGTTTCAAATGGACAAACCAACTTGATAAACTGTAGATTAAGTCAACAGTATATACATATGAGATGTCTAGAATAAGCAAATCTATAGAGACAGGAAGTAGACTGGTGGTTACCTAGGGCTGGAGGTAACTGGGGTAAATGGGGAGTGACTTCTAATGGGCATAGGGTTTCTTTTGAGAGTAATGGAAATGTTCTAAAATTGACTGTAGTGATGTTTGGATAATTCTGTGAATATACTAAAAAAAATTGAATTTTACACTTTGAATGGGTGAATCATATTGTATATGAATATCTCAATAAAGCTATTATTAAAAAATAGTACATACAGATTTAAAACTTTGATATCCTAGCTCACATTGTAATGCTCTGTCATACTTAATTACAAAGTTAATGGCAACCAACAAGCAAATAACAAAAATAAGATCGTGAGACTGAAAGTCATTTTGAGCACATGTTCTCTCATTTAATGGCACTACTCTCCTCCTTTTTGTTCCCTAATACAGGGCCTAGCACACAACAAACAATAAATAATTTCTGAATTGATTTTAATCCTGTATTCAGGTATAATCAAAGTATGATATGCTTATAAAAGGTCAAACCTTATTAACCTCAATTCCTAAAGCCTATTTCTTGCTGTCTTAATAATTAGTTCTCTGCCTCTCTTCTTTAGAAATGTTATAATTTCTTTCACTGAAATCAGAAAATACTGCTGTTAATGTATTTATTGAGTACAAAGCTTTCTTTATTCTGAATATGACGGAAAATTCAAATTCTGTACAAGATAATAATGGATGTTTATGAAGATTACCCAAGACTATGAGGCACCTCGTGAATCAAAGATATGCTAAATCTTTAAATGCTAAAGGTATAATTATCTTTAATCTTTAAATGCTAAAGGTATAATTATCTAGTTTCTTACTGTTACTGTTAAATTGGTAAACAGCGTAGAGAAATTTTCAGCTAATTGAAGTATTAAATTTAATAAGAATACCCTATTCCCCAATTCAAGATAAATAGGATTTAATATGTTTAATTTAAAATATTCTTACTACAAAAATACCAAAAGTTACCTTTCTAGTTCATCCTGCATAATCCATAATTATTAGCATGACAGGACCAAGAAACTCTGAGTGGAAAAAGTGATCTCTTAAGGTGATCCTTTCTATTGCTGAGATCTATGAGTCTAAGGTAACATTAACTTCATCTAGGCACACATTAAGTGGCAAAACCTATTTACTGACAAAATAAGGAACACAAGGAACTCATATTTCACAGCTAAAACTATATGGCTCATAGTAAATTGGTGAGTTTAGTTTCATGAAATCTGACAGGAAGATACTTAAACATACTGCCTATGGTTTGTGACACTTAACTTGGGGAGCATTACACAGAAGTGGGCTAGGGTCTGGAAAGCCTTTAATACTGCCCAGCCCATTTCTAAGTGTATACTGGGAGAGCTTATCTTGTATTTCACGAAAGTTCCAACTCAGGGAAATGAATAATCCAACGGATCATAGGAATGAAATTTCATAGAGGTTGAGGCTTTGAAAAGAAACCATGAGGAAGATGAAACATTGACAGAGGCTGAAGATAAATGCTCTGGATACAAGGGAGTTATTAGGCTTTGACCTTAAAACCTTCAATGAGACATATAATTGCTTCATCTTTGAGGTCAGCTGAAAGGCAGGGAAATGGGTGTAAAAATAACACGCAGTTAGAAAGTGCACAATTGTCAAAAAATACTAAAGCTGGGCCGGCCCGGGGGCGCACTGCTACAGTGCGCCGCTTGGGAAGCGCGGCGGCGCTCCCGCCGAGGGTTCGGATCCCACATACAGACCGGTTCCCGCTCACTGGCTGAGCGAGGTGTGGGCGCAGCACTGAGGGTTGCGATCCCGTTGCCGGTCCCGGTCCGGTACGGGCGCGACACTGAGGGTTGCAATCCGTTGCCGGACACGAAAAAAGACAAAAAAGAAAAAGAAAAAAAAAAATACTAAAGCTGCTGAGCTTTGACTAGGAGTGCATCACAAGTTGCCAGGTGTAGAATTGGTTTTCTTCGATAGCTCATTTCATTCAATTACATAGTATGAAGGACTAAAGAAGTAATAGGTAATTTAGAATAAGATCTTGGGCATTAAACTGGGGTAAGTACAGAATAAGTAGGCAAAAGAAAAGCAACTATGGCACATCAAATAAAACCAAGAAATGGTCTACAGCTGCATGCCATATTTAGGGAAAGAGTAAACTATTTTAATAATATGGCAGAGTAGTGGAGACTGTGTGGACTGAGTTTGGAAACAACACATTACAAAAAGGAATTAAGATAAGACATTTGGCTTCCCAGCCCAACAATTACTTAATACTCTCACTGGCCACCAACTTCAAACTACACCCATAAGGGGAATTTCTGTTTTTTTGGCAATGCTGCTCTTTGAGATAAGAAAAGAATGAGATTGATTGAGATAACTCCATATACCATGCACAATGGGGGGACAAAGAGAAAGAAGGGGGTGCCTTGATATTACATTTTAGACATTTCAAGATACAGTGTTAATTAAATTATTGCTTCAATTCACACTGAAAATTTGTTTCTCAGCAAAATAAGAAACCACTTAGTATAGTTCTATCACTGAAACTGGAATATACTGCTTACTTTACAAATCTCTCAGTGCTTAGAAGGATATTCTGGAGCCTGGAAGAATTAATGCACATATGAATTGTGAGCAATCACCTCATTTTCTCACCTGCAGAATCAGGTCATTAAGCATAAAACATCTAATATGGAGGTACTTCAAAAAAGTTCTGGAAAAATGGAATTAATATATGAATCTTTCCATGAACTTTCGAAGACTCCTCATATTTCTTTGGACTAGGAAGCAGAGAAGGGTTTAGAGATCTTTGATGTTCTTAAAGGAGCCCATCAGGTAGGGTTCGTGGTATTAGTACAACTGCTTCTTGTGCCAGAGCATATCTCAAGAGCTCTGGCTGATACCTTAAAAGTAGCCCAACTGAATTCAGAGCCCTACCAGAATTTCTGAGATACACTGGCAAAGTAGCACTGTAGTTGAGAAGAGAATATCATGTTTTCCAAGAAATGAACTTCCTTGCAAGGTGACTAAGCTGACTTTCACAAAGACTTATAAAGCATAGTACCACACAGAATGTAGAATTCAAATTATGAGAGAAAATAAGCCCAAATAATGTTATTGCTTTGGTACATGTTTTAAAATAAAATATTTACAATGCTCTAAAGCATAAGGTTCCATATGATTGTCAAATAATCAAAACATAATAATGAAAGTCATCAATCTGAGGAAATATGGGCTTCTGCTACAGAGAAGAATGTGCTTTAATGTATTAAAAGTTCACATTGTTCATAAAGTTCCTTATTCCTCGTTTAGGCAGGAAAATGAATTGAGTTCTCTTCTCCAGGTGACTTTGCCTCTTTGACCTGCCATGGCCCAGTGCTCACTTTATCTGGTGATTCATTTTCAATAACTCGAACAGTATTTGTTCTGACATTTTAATTAAAATATGACCACTACCTCATCCTGATGATAAAAAGGCCTATGTGTCAGTGAAAACTAGCTTTTCAGTGCCTCGGTGCACCTGAGAACCCCTCTGAGCACATAGTTCTTACTAAAGAATTTCACTCAGGTTCTAAACAATACATCATTTCAAAATGGGATCACTTTAACCATTAAGATTAATGTTTAAAAATCTAAAATGGCTAGAGGATACTAAGTAATGAATGTGTAATTTCCCCAAGCTTGATATTTGAAAAAAGGAAATCAAATGCACTTCAAAAGTGAAGAATAATGATACAAGATTCAAACTTAGTGTATTATTTGGGAACACCATATAATGAAATTACAACAGAAAATTTATGAAAAATTACAGAAATGACTAAGAAATTCGGAGTTTAATTACATCTACATCTTGTTAGTAAAAGCTAAAGAATAAAACTATGACTCCATATTAGGTTGAGGAATATTATTATGTACCATAACTTTGTGACCAATTTTTTAACAAAAATCCAAACATTTATGGGAGATTTCCAAATGAAAATATGAAATGAATTAAATTCCAAACTACAGTGAAGTCTTCAGATTGGAGAACTTTATCCAGACAGTTCACAAAGAAATTAACTGTATTGATATTGGCTCCTGAGAATGAAACAGTTTTTTCCTTATGTAAATATAAATGCCCACTATGCACCATCTCTGCATTAAGAAAAAAAACACACAAGGGAGATGAGATAAAAGGAAATAGGTAGAAGGAAATAAATGGATGTCTGAACAAACATAACATCCAAAGAAAATGAAGACATACAAATCGATGGAAGAAAGTGATCAAGATTCAAGTGGACATGCAAATCCTATAATGAAAATCACCTTTACATTATATAAATGAAGAAGATCCATTAGGCTATTTTTTGGTAACTTACACACACAAAATATGCCACATTCGCCCCATTCACAGCTGCAAGAACAACCCTATTAGGTAGAGAGAAAAGTTTAAAAATTCATGGTGGAATATCATTTTTCCACCATGAATAAGTGGCATATATACTTTTGAGGGCTGAGTATTCATCACATCACTAGCACGCTATGCAATGAGTGACAATGAATACTTAAGGAGGTTTCCTACATTTGCCAATTAGTAATTTAATCTTCTGTCAGTTAAACCAACTTTTTTTCCTAAAGGAAGATAACTTTTTATGATAAAGGATTATATGCTCTTCACACAACACCTGCAACATAAAGAAAATTATAATAAATGTCCATAATCCCACCAAAATTAATTGAGTTTCCTGACACTCTTCATTCTGTGTGTACCTATGCATATAAATGTATACTTTCACACTTAATTATATGTCTGTGTGTGTGCGTTTGTGTGTGATGTGAACATTTCCCCCATGTTTAGGCAGACACTGTGCTCAACCATATTAGTAAAACACGCGAGAGTTGTTGCTGAATACATCACATTTCAGTTCAGGATTCAGAAACCTTCATGAGATATCTAAGAGGAGTATGATGGTTACATTACCTTTCCATCACCGATTATTTTTCTTACCTATCTCCATTTCAGTATAAGGAGTAAATAATTTCTGCACAACTGGTTCTAAATCTTCTCTTGCTGTTTTAGAAGATGTACAAGTCAAATGAACCAAATCTGTTAAAAAAAAAAAATATTCTTGAGTTCCTGCTTATCACAAATCTGTTTTATTCATATTCAAGGCCCTAAGCTGGTATCATGGGTAATAAAAGAGCCGGGACTTCAAAGAGTTTGTAATCTAGTGATGGGGGACATGTAATAACCCTAACATTATGCTACATATGATAAACAAGTAGCTAAAATATGTGTTAACTAATAACACATGTTAACTAATAAAAGAAATCACGAAAACATGATTTCTCAACATCAGAAATCAAAAAACCATAATTAGCTAACATGGGTTAACTAATAACAAGGGTTAAGTAATAAAAGAAATCACACCAAGACCCAAGTAGCAGCAATAGAGGTTATTTTGCAAAACTAACAGAGTTGAAAGGCTTAGGAAACCATTTATTTACAGAAAAGAGCTTAAGTTATCCTTATGACATTCGTAATGAAGATACACAAATGATTACTAAACAAAATAATTGTGTAAAAAAGGACCAAAAGTGGAGTATTTATTTATGTAAAAGAACACACATCATATACTTTGGACAGAAGAATCCATTACTATACACTTTACTAAGTTAACAAGAAATCATCTACTCATTACAGGGTTCTCTATAAACCTTTTGGAGAAACACTGTTGGCTTAGTTTGAATCATGAACATACTTGAAAGTCCCTAAAATGGCACAGGTCAAAACAGTCTATAAATATTTTCAGGAACTCCAAATCACTTTCCTTTTGCATTTATAGATTCATGGGGCCTTGACCTTGGAGAAGGTTTAGGTTAGAGAATATCATGTACAAAAAAGGCCCTGCACAGAAGTGAAATACTGTAGCCTCTGTTAGAACTCCTAAAGGCTTATTAGAACAAAGGTAAAGGAAGGGCAAAAAGTTCTACGTATTGAAAGAGAAAAGTAACAGGGGATTTCTAAATGAGAGAAGTTATTATTGTCCTGAAAAGGACTTGCTTGGGGTGGGGCAGAATATGGGCAGAAAGAATATATTAGAGAACAGTAGGTACTGAGAAATTCCTCTCCCTACCACACCAGTAGAAAGATACACCCATTTCTTTTTCAAGAGTTTATTTCAGACTACCAGAATTTTTTTTTTTTTTTTAACCTCAGGAAGATGGTTTAAATCTTATCATGGAAGCCAACATCAGAGTAAGATTCTCATTATCAAAATTTATTCCTCATTCAACTACTCTAAAATATATCTAAGCATAAATTGAGGGACTCTTAATAACCACCTGAGATAAAATCATATTTTGTAGGTTTTTCCCTCAGCCCCACCGAAGAAAGTAATTTTCTAGCAAGGTTTTGGAATTATTTATGACCTTATAAAATATCTACCTGATTCGAACGTTGTTTTTACATGAATTTAGCAATGATTCCTTTTGCTTCTGGGATATTGCAGAATGTATAGTACTAATTCCAAAGGTATAATAAATTTCACATTAAAATTATTCCTAATTAACTTAAATGTTTCAAATGCTATATAACTTTGGTGGGGATGGGGCTTAAACTTCCTACATAATTACTGAATTAAACAGGGTATGCAATTAGAAAGGTCAGAAATACCTAATGTGCAAGAAAAACTGTCTTGTCCTTCATCCTACAGTCTCACAAAATACCAATGCTCATGCCAGAGTTCTCAATTTTCCAGTTCTCTCCTATTCAATTAATGTTTACTAGGGAAAAAGCAGGTGAACACATATAAATAAGATGGTATATTTTGAAAAATATCTTAATGGCTAAACTATTGATTCTGTTAAATAGGACATATATTTTAAAGAAGTACACTTAAGTATAAATATAACAGAGTTTGGTTTAGGCAATGCTAGCAAAAATTTCTAGTAGTGAAGTCAGATTACCATCTTGTACTTAAGTTATATAGCAACTCTTAGACAAAGACATTCATAACCTGAATTGTAATGTCTATACTTCGACTCTGCTTAGGTGCTATATTAATTGATCTACAAATTTAAGGTATGAACAACTATTTTTCCTATACATTGCTTTTTCTGTTGCCTAGACCACCTACTTGTATAGGTTACTCTGAATTCATTTTAGTTTTCTTCAAATCAGAGATTTTTGATTGTATTACTTTTAAAATTCAAATTATCTTCAAAACTGGTTTGTTAATCTTTATACCTGTTTTAAGTCCTTTGCAGGGGCAAACTTTAGAGTCAATTTTTCTTTTTTTTGTTTGTTTGTCAAATACAACTTTTACTTACAGTGGGTGTTCAATAAATGTTTGTTGCTAGTGATAATTTGCTTCCCTAGTCATGGGCAAACATCAAGTACTCACATGCCTGACAGACATGTGTGTGCACACCAATATATCTATGCATACAAATGCATGGTGAAAATCTGACTAGTTTCTTGTATGAAATGTACGAAAGTATCTGGACTACCATGATGGAGACAAGGGAGGTACCAACAGATAATCCTCAAATTATTTAAATCTGCCTGAGAAATGCTCACAGACACATTAAGATATATTTATAAAATTCTCAGGTACACAGCTGGAATCTGCCACCAGCCACCTCCTGCCACCCTGAGCAGGAGCCAAGGGAGCAACCTGAATGACCTGGTACCCAGCCAGAAGATTACACCAGCCCCCTCCCACCACCCCAAACAGGAGCCAAAAGAGTGACCCGCACAACCCAGCACCCAGCTGGAAGCCCCCAATGGCTGTCTCCTGCAGATCCAAGCAGGAGCCAGGTGAGCCTCCTGTGAGCTGGCACCCAGCCAGAAGCCCCCAGTAGCCCCTCTTCCTGCCCAAATAGGAGGTGAATGAATGTCCCATGACTAGGCAGTGCCACAACTACTTTCCATGCGGGTGGTCCACCAAAGCCACCACCATACCTACTGCCGCCACAAGGAGAGCCCACTGCCACAGTAACAGCCAGGACCATGCTGCAGGCAGCCCACTGCACTAATGACTACACTGACACAAGAAGAGTCACCAGTAGAGACTATAAATAGAGGAGGAAGTCTTTCCCCTCAAAGCCCACTCCAGAGAATAGAAGAAACAACTGCTGTACCAGATGACCAGGCATCAACAAAGAGACACTAGAAATACAGATAAACAAGAAAATATGACACCCCCAAAGGAACACAGGAATTGTCAAGTACCAGAATCCATAGAACAGGAAACCCTTGAAATGTCTGAAAAGGAATTCTGAGCAATGATCTTGAGAAAACTCAAAGATTGTTGTCTGTTTCTTCCTTTCTCTCTATAACTTTTAGAAGGAGAGAAAAGAACTGTGATTACTAAAGGTGGAAAACAGGAGGGGAGTAGGAGGAGGTAGGGGTTAATGAGAAACTGGTTAATGGACTCAAAGAACGAATATATACTGTAATGATGACTAAGCTAACGATCCTGATGTGACCATCACACATTGTACACAACTACTGAAAGTCAACTTTGTACCCTATATACATATACAATAAATTATCTTAAAAGAAAAGAAAAGAAAACTCAAACAGATAAGACTCAATTAGAGAACACAATGAAATGAGAAAAAGCATCCAGGATATCAAGGAGGAAATTTACAAAGAGATTAACACCTTAAAAAAGAATGTTGCAGAACTCCCAGAACTGAAGGATTCATTCAATTAAACAAAACAACAACAAAACAAAACAAACAAACAAACAAAAAAACACAAATGAGAGCTTAAGCAGCAGGATAGAGCAAGCAGAAGAAAGAATTTCGGATTTTGAAGAGAGTCTTTTCAAAATAACCCAGGCATACAAAAAAAAAAAAGGAAAAATAATTTTAAAAATGAACAAAATTTAACAGAGCTGGTAGACAACCTTAAGCACACAAATGTCCAAAACATGGGCATTCCAGAAGGGGAAGAGAAAGGAAAAGCATTGAAAACCTATTCAAGGAAATAATAATAGAAAACCTCCCATGTAGAGGGAGACAAGTGGACCTTCTAATCAAGGTGTGGTCATATGCTAAAAAGCATATGTACTTCATAGGGCCTGGTTTTCCAAAGCCTTGCAGTTTCAAATACTGACCTTGTGGAGGACTGGAAATTTCCCTCAGGCTATAAGACACTGTTGCAAGATAAGCATTGTGGCACAGCAGGTTGCTGGCTCAAAGACAGACTAGTTACTGATTGTTATGTAAAGATACTGAGAAATTGCTATAGGAAGGGATGTTTACTAGATCAAACTGTTATTGATAGGACAACTTAACTGCCTTACTGGAATGTCATCCAGCTTGTTTCACTGAAAGTTACCAGCCTATACTGTTAAACTATAACCCCACCTATGTCTCTTCCTGTAACTTCCCGGTCTGGAAAATAAATGCAGGAAGATAACCCCAATTCTGCATTAATTTCCCAAGGAAGGGATCCCTCTCGCTTCAGGGTTCCAGCGGGAGATTAACCACTTCCGGGCCTCTCACTGCTCAGAAGAGATGAGCTTTGAGTAATCCTTTGCATCTCCATCACCCAGGGGAAGTGGGGTGACAAATCAGTGGGGGGCAAAGCAATGCAAAGCAACATCAAGGAAGCCCAAAGATCCCCAAACAGATTCCACTCAAAAAGATCTTCCCCAAGACACATTTTAGTAAAAGTAGCAAAACTCAAAGACAAAGAAAGAATCCTAAAAGCAGCAAGTGAAAAACATCTAGTCACATAAAAGGGAGCCCCTATCAGACTAACAGCAGATTTCTCAACTGAAACTCTACAGGCCAGAAAACACATGGGATAATATATTCAAACTAGTAAAAGAAAAATTGCCAGCCAAGAATACTACCCCCAGCAAAGCTATACTTCAGAAATGAGGGAGAAATAGTGGATTTCCCAGGCGAAAAAAACTGCAGGCATTCACTACCACATGATCAGCCCTGCAAGAAATTCTGAAGGGAGTCCTACCATCTGGAATCCAAAAACAATAATCCCTACTACGAATATACAAGAAAAAACAAAGAGCAGTATTAAAACAAAAAGGCAAATGAGAAAGAGATAGAAATTAAATGAAACTACCCCCC